AGAACTAAAACTATTTTCACAATTCAGAACTAGGACAAACAACAATCAGTTAGAAATGCTTCTCACATAATTGGTTCTGGAAATCAACCCAAATATGGGTTTTTTATGGTTATAATGAAGCTGCAGTACCAGTAGCTAATAATGAGACAAACTATACATGATGGGATGTCTCAAAATAAACAATTCACCTTGGCTTTGAAATACAGAAACATTTAAGTAATCAAAACTGACAGACAGAAACCATTAAACAATTCAAGAAGGCATATCCAAATGAGATACATGAGGTTTAAAAAATGGGAAATAGAGTGATTCAATGTATCATCTCCAAAAACCAAACTCTTAAGTAAACATTGAAATTCTGCAATACAAAGTTAGAACAAAGTTGGTTAACTATATTGAGTGGAGTAATGTTATAAAAGTAGGTATAGAATTAAAAAACCTATGAGCTACAACCACAATGACATCCATTTATTTTTCATAACATACAAACCATATCCATAGGTTGGTTGTTGTAACTCAAACTTAGCTAAGCATTGTTAACAGAATTCAACAGCTAAACTTAAAGAACTAGGTCTGGCCATCATTCATAAAAACTTAAAAACAACAAATAATTTAGTAGAACCTTAAAGAACAACAAAACATGCAGATGGTACCATGAGCTTTCGTGGGCACAGCCCACTTCTTCAGATGACTGGAGTATTAAAAGTCCAGATCCAAGAAAAAATAAGAGAAAGGGAGGGGGAGAAAGAAAAGGAATAGTGAATAGATTGTTCAAGTAGTTACAAGAAGCTGATATAAGAACAATTAGCACCTCCATTGGTTGCTTGGTTGGTTAATTCATTAGGATGTGGCAGGTAGTGTGCAAGCCAGCCGATGTCTCTGTTCATTCCATTCTGATAAGAATTAAACTTGTAAATGAAGTTAAGTTCCAACTCTTCCTTGAGTATTTGGCTTGTGGAATTGGCCTGAAACAATATGGTGACTTGGAGATCCAGTAATGAGTGCCTGGGCAGGACATGGCAGTGGGGCATTGCTGGCATCTGATAGTTACCCTGATGTCAGTCGTCTTGAATCATCCTAATTCTGCATGAAACTATACTGAAATTTGTCTCCCAGCTATGTAAGAAACCAATTACAGGGACACAGTAACACTACCTCCTTGAATGATGTGGAGCTGCAGTGACCTGGTGTGGTCAATGCAGGGCATGTGTAGATACTGTTTGATCTATGTCAATGCTAAGGGTTCTCTAGCAGCTATCCCATAATGCACAATACTAGCCTCTCTGGTCATCATTGTGAACTCCACTGCCTGGGGATAATGCAGACCAGAAGCCCTACACAACCATTTAACACGTGACATATTTTTGAAATATTTTTTTCAGATTTCCCAGCTTGGCAAGCACCCCTAACCATTGTCCTGGATCAGTGACCAGAGCCAAGCCAAAGCCTAGCACTGACAATCTGAGCACACTTCAGCACTTGTGTGTATCCATTGTGCTAAGGGGTCAGGGACTCACAATGGTTCTCAGGTGCCCCTGTGATTATAACACTCCCACTCCAAAGCCAGCTCTCCTTGTCAACTCTTGTCACTCACCATCTACACGAGGGGTCAGCAACCTTCCAGAAATGGCATGACAAGTTTTAACTTATTCACTTCTATTTGTGGATCTGTGTGCCAGGGAAGGAGGTAACAGGGACGGGCTGAGTACAGTGACCATATTTTCTGAACCAGCTGCAGCTAGGGAGAATGGTTTAATTTAAATTATTAAGCAGATTAAGCATTTTAACTTTCTCATGTTTATTTAAAATGAAGTTTGATAAACTAAGTAAAATATTATGCCCAACACAAAAGGTTATTAGGTACGGAAACTGATTTGAAGGATAGGTTACAAACCACAGTTAATACTTCCACAATTTCACATTTGAATTCTTTCAGAACTCTTGGGTGAATGCCATCAGGTCCCAGTGACTTGTAACTGTTAGGTTTATCAATTTGTTCCAAAACCTCCTCTAATGACACCTCAATCTCAGACCTCTCACCCCAAAAAATAGCTCAGGTTTGGGAATCTCCCTAACATCCTCAGCCGTGAAGACTGAAGCAAAGAATTAATTTAGTTTCTCTGCAATGACTTTATCAACCTTTAGCATCTCGAACCTTTAGCATCTTGAGATCCTTTAGCATCTCGATCATCCAGGGGCCCCACTGCTTGTTTAGCAGGCTTCCTACTTCTGATGTACTTAAAAAACATTTTGCTATTTCTTTTTGAGGGAAAAAGGGGAAGAGGAAGGCCAAAGAATAGTTGGAGAAGAGACCTGGATGTGAATGTGAGGAAAATGGGCAAAAGCTGAAGAGAATTAGAAAAGGTAGCACAAGACAGAGAGGCTTGGAAAGAAATTGTGGATGGCCTGTGCTCCCATAGGGGCTAAGGACAAATAAGAAGAAGATTACTTTTTTAGTTTCTGGCTAGCTGTTCTTCAAACTGGTTTTTGGCTTTTTTATTATATTTTTACACTTCATTTGACAGAGTTTATACTCCTTTTTATTTTCCTCACTAGAATTTGCCCACTTTTTAAATGATGCATTTTGATCTCTCACTGCTTCTTTTATTTGGTTGTAAAGCCACGATGGCACTTTTTTGGTTTTCTGTGTTTTTTAATTTGGGGAAGACATTTAAGTTGGGCCTCTATTATGGTGTCTTTGAAAAGTTTCCATGCAGTTTGCAGGGATTTTACTTTTGTCATTGTACCTTTTAATTTTTGTTTAACAAACCTCCTCATTTTTCTGTAGTTCCCCTTCCTGAAATTAAATGCCAGTGTTGGGCTGCTGAGGTATTTTTTCCACCAGAAGGATGTTAAATTTTATTACATTATGGTCAATATTTCCAAGTGATCCAGTTATATTTACCTCTTTGACCAGATTCTGCTCTCTACTTAAGACTAAATCAAGAAATGCCTCCACCCTCATGGGTTCCAGAACCAGCTGCTCCAAGAAGCAGTCATTTAAGTCATTTAAAATTGAGAAATTTTATCTCTACATCTCGTCCTGAGGTGTGTACCCAGTCTATATGGGGATAGTTGAAACCCCCCACTATTATTGAGGTTTTTTTGATAGCCTCTCTAATCTCTCTTAGCATTTCATAGTTACTATTCACTGTCCTGGTCAGGTGGTTGATAATATATCCCTACTGCAGGAGAGAGGGTGCAGAAGCAAGTGAGAATGTTGGAGCAAGCTGGGGGTTCAAGGCCTTGGTGGGGGGAGGGAATGAAGTGAGGGGGATTGAGGTGTGGGGGGTCTGGGTATGATGGGGGGGACACTTATTTGGCTTTGTGCCCCCTTGCAGCAACTGCTGTGGCCATGTGTTCCCAGAGGCTGGAGGCACCACTGCCATGGCCACATGGTCCCAGGCTGGCCCTGGAGGCCCTGCTGCTGCAGCCACACAATCCTGGGTTGGCCCCAGATGTGCCAGCCTCGAAGGCCTTGCTGCCACAACCAGCAACTCTGGGCTGGCCCCAGAGATGCCGCTGTCACAGCCACACAGTCCTGGGCCAGCCCCAGAGATCACACAGCCACAGCCACGCAACCCCAGGCTGGCCTCGAAACCTGGAGATGCTGCTGCCATGGCCATGCAGTCCCTGGCCAGACATGGGGGCCCCACTGCCGTGGCCATGCAGTCCCTGGTCAGCCCCAGCGGCCGGAGGCACCGCTGCCACTTCCATGAGGCCTTGGGCTGGCCCTGGAGAGGAGCCTCAGCCCTAGCGCTGCCTCCTCCCACTACAGCCTAATTTGCTGCCAGAGAAGAGGGAGAGATCCAGCAGCAACACAGGCTCGAGGGGGAGGAGGGCCGGGGCTGAGCTCCTGCAGTATGTGCCACTGAAAAATGGCTCGTGCCACTTTTGGCATGCATGCCGTAGGTTGCCAACCCCTCATCTATGCTGTTGCAGTTAAAAACCTCTAATGCCCATGTTCCTACTTCTGGACATGCACCTAACTGCCTCACTGTAGGCACCCAGGCCCTTGGATGTCCCTTAAGTACCAGTGCAATTCACAAGCCAAGGGAAGGTAGGCAGAGGCCCAATCTGACAGGCTTTACACCAGAGGCTGCTTCCAACTATACAAAATTGCACTGGGAGAGGGCAGAAGATGGTTCCCTCCCAGCTTTGAGCCCAGAGTGGGCAAGCAGAGGGGATGTCTATGCTACAGTTTTGGAAAAACTGCCATTTTTCTGAAAAAACTTCACTTACGTCCACACTGCAATCATGTTCTTTCAAAAAAAATCAAAAGAACAGAGGGAATTTTCTGACATTGGTAAACCTCTTTCTATGAAGAAGAAGCCTTTTCCAAAAGAGCTCTGTGTGGATGAGGAAGAGGGAGTTCTTTTGAAAGAAGAGGAAAAAGCACAGGTGCCCTGATGGCCACTCCATCCATAGTAATCACAGCTTAAATGTGATTCAGTGTGGATGCTATCTTTAGAAAAAGCAGATCACTTTTTCAATGCGATTTGGCAGTGTAGAAGCTCTCTGTCAGAAAAAGTTTTTTCAGAAGATTTATTCTGGAAAAACTTCCAAAAGAAGCCTGCAGTCTAGACATAGCCATACAGTTTAAATCAGCAACGAGTCAGTTTTTGTTCAGTGGGGTCACATGCAAACCCTGTCACTCATTCCATTTTGTGTGTAGAAGAATTTTTTCCCAACCTGCATCAGTTGGAAAGCTGTACTACTTTTCCCATTTCTAGAACTTTTCTTTTGTACCATTTGCAATAAATATTTTTTATAGCATCACAGACTACTACAGCTGGAAGGGTCCTCAAGAGGTCCTCAAGTTCAGTCCCCTGCCCCTGGATCAAGCACCATAGATCATCCCTGACAGATGTTTGTCCAACCTGCTCTTAAAAAGCTTTAATGATGGAGATTCTACAACTTCCTTAGGCAATTTATTCCAATGTTTAACTGCCCTAACAGTTAGGAAGTTTTTCCTAACATCCAACCTAAACTTCCTTGCTGAAATTTAAACCTATTGCTTCTTGTCCTATCCTCAGAGGGTCAGGAGAATTAATTTTTCTCCCTCCTCCTTGTAACTCCTTTTAGGTACTTGAAAGCTGTATCCATAGTTGGATGGAAGTTTTTGGGTTTATCTGTTAACCTCTACCATCCCAACAGTCCAGTTCTAGGGAACAGAACTGAACTCCAATGGGGTCGTGTTTTGGGAAAGCAAGATCATATTCCAGCTGCCTTGAAGGACAGCAATTCCTAACCAAGGATTTCATAAACATTTGTGAACTGCAATTCCTCTGATGATCTTCATAGTAGCATTTAGATTTTATATTCAGAGAAAGATAGAGAGTCATGGGAACAAAGAGCTTGGATACAGGGATATCCATCAAACACCTGGGTTCCCTGACCACCATTCTGCCAGGTCATTTTCACTCTGTCATGACCCAACAACTCTTGGGATTTATACACTGTGCGATTACATCACTGAGGGCATGTCTACACTCGGAAATTATTTTGAAATAATTAAATTGGACTTAACTCCTGATTTAACAAAATTGAAATAGCGTGTCCCCACTAAGGGAAGCCTCAAAATTAGTCAGAGGCAAGCTCTGTTAATGTGGATGCGCTATCGTGACTTAGAGCCCCAGAAAGCACTGGGAAGTAATTAGTTCAAATGACTCTGGGGAGTAGTTATTTGAAAACAGCAGCATTGGAGTGTCCACGCTAAAGCTATTTCAAAATAACTATTTTGCAATTAGCACTCTTCCCCGAGGAACGCGGGAGTACAGATTTCAAAATAACCAGCCTGTTATTTCAAAACAACAGGCTTGGTATTGTGGATGCTCTGTTTATAAATTTGACGTAAGGGGGGCTATTTCAAAATAACATCCTAGGGTAAAGCAGATTGAGAACCCCTCATCAGATTGAGAGCTGAGTAGCTAAGACACTCCCCTAAGAAGTGGCAGATCCCTTTTCTAAATCCTTCGTTTGATTAGGCAAGGAGGGGACTTGAACTGGACTCTCATATCCTAGGGGATGGACTCTCACATCCTAGTCATGGGCCAAATGCTCATGAGGGAAATGTCCCCACTGCAGAGTCAGGCAGTCTCTCAAAACATCTACTGGGCTGGGCCTTATTGTCAGCAGATAATTTCACTTCTATGGTTCATGAATGGGGAGCACAGATATGTGCCTATTTCCATGTGATGGATGGGAATTTGGGGACCCCATTCTAAGACACCTATTCCTCCTTTAATTGTATAAGAGGCTTGGACTCATAACTCAGTCTTTACTGCTGTTTCTCTGATATTCTAGGTACCCAAGAGCATTTGCAACACTCAATGTCATAAAGATAAGTCCTTTGGTGGATTCCAGCCTACAAATGCTGTCAGGGATGAATGAGAAGTCACAGCAGAAAAGAAAACAAGGGGCACAGGTGTGTAACGTCAAACGTAAATGAAATAACTGAACAGAAAATATTCAGATTTATCAACAAGTTATATTCAACTCCTGCCAATGGGGGACTCCTTATCAACCTTTTGCTGTCTATGGCTCTGTTCTTTGGAGGACATTTCATACTCTGTTTGAATACTGTTGCATGTCCTCATTACATGTCTGCGGAGCCATTCCCTACCCTCCGAGATGTGTAGGAATAAGGAAAAAAATTATTCTCTTGCCCCATCCCCAGCCAGTACACTTTTACTGTGTGTGCGCTGGGTGGATGCTCTTACATCTCATGAGGGATAAGCTGTGCTAGGAGGCTTTCCCACACTCAAAGCACCCTTGTAGTTTCTCTAAGGGTTATTAAGGGTTGAACTCTGACTGAACACTTCCCAAATTCAGGGCATTTAAAGAGTTCCTCCCGTTGCAGATTTTTGCAAGGGCAACAAATACTTCAGAGCTCTCCAAATCCCCACACAACACAAGGAGAGCAGTGTAAGCTAGCCAGTGTGGCATGCTGATGAGAGTGGTCTGTCCTAAGACCTCCAACAAAGGCTTTTCCTGACCTTGACAATTCATAGGATCTCTCAGCCTGTGGGCTCTTGGATATGACAATGTGTGAGCACTGCCCTGTAGCTGCAGGTTCTCTCTTCTTTTGGGGGTTCTCTGGTGTTCAATAAGGCTTGAGTCCAATGAAACTTTTTCCCACGGTCAGAGCAGTTGAAAGGTTTTTCACCTTGTGTGAACTGTATGATACCTGTTAAGATTTGAGAACTGAAGATGTTGCCACAGACAGAGCACTTGAAGAGAGAGCACTCTTCTGTTTAGATTTTCCTGTGTCACACAAGGTATGACCTCTGACAAACTTTTCCTGCATCAAAGCAGTTATGCAGTTTCTATGTTGTGTAGATTCTTCTGAGTCCAACAAAGTCTGAGCATTGACTCAACATTTTCCCGGTCAGAACAATTAGGCGGCTTTTCACCCATGCAGGTTCTCTGATGTTCAAAATCCTACCAGCTCTCATGGAATCTTTTCCCTCAGACCAGTTACAGGGTGGACTGTAGGATGCCTGTCAAGATTTGAGCATCAACTGAACCTTTTCCCACGGTCAGAGGAGTTGAACGGTTTCTTTGCTGTATGGATTCCTTAAATGTTTAATCAGATTTTTTGTTTTGGCTGAAGCTTTTCCCACATTCAGAACAATTAAAAGGCTTCTCTCCTGTGTGGATTCTACTATGTCTTACAAGGTCTGATCTCTGACTGAAGTTTTTCCCACAGTCAGAGCAATTGAAGGGTCTCTCTCCTGTGTGGATTCTCCTATGTCTAACAAGGTCTGACCGCTGACTGAACCGTTTCCCACAGTCAGAGCAGCTGAAGGGTTTCTCTGCAGGGTGGATTCGCCTATGTCTAACAAGGTCTGACCGCTGACTGAACCGTTTCCCACAGTCAGAGCAGCTGAAGGGTTTCTCTGCAGGGTGGATTCGCCTATGTCTAACAAGGTCTGATCTAAGATTGAACCTCTGCCCGCACTCAGAGCAGTTATAGGGTGTCTCTCCTGTGTGGACAGTACGATGAATTTTAAGACTTGAGCGCCGAATGAAGCTTTCCCCACAGTCAGAGCAGCTAAAGGGCTTCTCTCCTGTGTGGGTTCTCTGATGATCAAGAAGATTTGCCCGCCGATGGAAGCTTTTCCCACAGACAGAGCAGTTATAGGGCATCTCACTTGTATGTAGTACCTGATGTTGAATAAGATGTGAGCGCCTACTGAAGCTTTTCCCGCAAGCAGAGCAGTTAAAGGGCTTCTCTCCTGTGTGGATTCTGTGATGAATGTTAAGATTCGAGCGCCTATTGAAGCTCTTCCCACAGGCAGTGCACATAAAGGGTTTCTCTCCTGTGTGGATTCTGCGATGAATGTTAAGATTTGAGCGCTGACTGAAGCTTCTCCCACAGGCAGAGCAGTTGAAAGGTTTCTCTACTCTGTGGTTTCTCTGCCAATCAGGTGTTACTGAAAACCAATGTAAATTTTTCTGACAGTCAGGGCAGTCACAGATCTTCTCAGTTGGATGCATTCCCTGATGTGTAATAAGCATTGAGTTCTGACTGAAGTTATTCCTACAGTCAGACAAGTTGAAAGGGTTCTCGCCTGTGTGGATTTCCTGGTGTAAAATGAGGACCTGTCTACATTGGAAACTTTTCCCACAGTTGCTGCAACTGTAGGGTCCCTCTTGATGGGGGATTTTCTGTTGAATGGTTTCTGTGTTTCTTTTCACCCCACTGCTCCTGTGGCTAGATTTACTCTGTCCCTCCACCGCATGGTTTCCCTGCTGCCTTTCTGGGCTATGCTGATTGTTACAGGTCTCTCTCTGTTCAGGACTCTGAGAAACATGCCCTTCAGATCTTCCCAATAACACCCCACATGGAGCCACTTGCTCCAGTACTTCCTGATGAAGACTCTCTTCATTGTTCTCACTCACAGTCACATCACCTGCTGGGAAAGAGACAGAAACCAGACAAGAGTCATTCTCTGTACTGAGCTGAAAGGCGGCAAAAAAGGGGGAGAAAACACCCAAACATTTGCTGGGCACGTTGAAATTGTTACAGCTCTTCCCCGTCCTTCATGAAAATTGGCTTATGAACATGAATTTTCATAAAGCATCTGACACAGGCATAACAGGATATATAACATTTAAAAAGTTACAGTCTGCAGAATTTGTATTTTCTATTTTTTGTGCCTATATCATTCTTCTGCTGTGAAGTTAGAGAGATGAAATGTGTATCTGGTGCATCTAAATCTAAATGTGCTAATGAGTGCCATTAGTGATATGTTAAGAAATTAGTGACTCAGTACTCAAAAAACCCACCAATGATGGCTTTATTTTTCCTGTGAGCCCAAACTGTGGTTGATCCTAGAAAGTCACATGACCATGCCACCTGGTACTGGAATCCATCTTGAATCTAACACTTTTCCATGGGGATGGGGAGTGTGAACAAAGGGTTCCCCCCCCCGGGAGAAAGTCTATGTAAGGAAAGGAAAGCAATCAGGTCTTTGTCTTCAGCTGGCCTTTGAAAGTGCCTCGCCCCCCATAAGAGGATGTACTTGAAAAAACCTGAAAACAAAGAACTATAAAAAGCTGTAGACCTAGGTCAGAAAAAAGATCAGCTCTGTCACTTGAAGTATTTTACTTGAGATAAGAATTGTTTAGGGTAAGAATGTCCATGTAACAAGTTTCTTAGTGGATTAGAATTAGCTGGTGTATATGTTTAAATTAAGTATCAGAGGGGTAGCCGTGTTAGTCTGAATCTGCAAAAGCAGCAAGGAGTCCTGTGGCACCTTATAGACTAACTGAAGTGTAGGAGCATAAGCTTTCGTGGGCAAAGACCCACTTCGTCAGATGCATGTAGTGGAAATTTCCAGAGGCAGGTATAAATATGCAGGCCAGAATCAGGCTGGAGATGACGAGGTGGATCCAATCAAGCAGGTGATTGGATCCACCTCGTCATCTCCAGCCTGATTCTGGCCTGCATATTTATACCTGCCTCTGGAAATTTCCACTACATGCATCTGACGAAGTGGGTCTTTGCCCACGAAAGCTTATGCTCCAACACTTCAGTTAGTCTATAAGGTGCCACAGGACTCCTTGCCGCTTATGTTTAAATTAGTAATTTACTTTGATCTGTTTTCACTTGCACTAATTTAAATCCTTTTTTTTACATTTAATTAAAATACTTTAGTTTATTATTATGCCTACTGTAAATAACTGTTACCAGGTTGGGGGGTGGGGGAACCAACCACTGTGCATCTTTCTTTCATGGAAAAGAGGGTGAATTTATGAGCTTTCTCTGTGTAACACTTTTAAACAGGGTGAGAGATTCATTTGTGGGTTTGGTCACTTTGGGGGGTTGGTTGCCTGGGTGTTGAAGCCTTATAGCTGAGCCCTCCTGGAGCTGAACTGGTTAAATGTCTGTTGTTCAGCTGGGGGGCAGTAACCCCAATTCTGTGTCTTGGCTGGGGAAGATCAAAGCTTCTGGCCCAGCAGGACAGGGTGGTGGAGAGCCCTCAAAGGCAGGAAGGTGTGTGTTGGTGGCTTGATCAGTACACTGGGGAAAACCCCAAGTGGATTTCTGTGCTCTAACCCAACACAGAAATATCATGAGCTGATTTCACCCTTCACAACCCTTCCCCAGAGGAGAGACTCCATCCTTCTCTTCCAGGAAATATTGGCAAACCAGTGATGTGTGTGAACCCCTTCTGCTTATTGCTAAAAGCAGCCAGGCTAGCAGGCTGCAAATAGGGTTTGGGAGCAGCCACAGCATAAGGGGGGGAGGGGGAAAAGTGGCAGGAGTTGGGCGCTACAGAAAGGCCCTCATGTCCTTCCTGAGTACAGCCGTGTTGCAATTGCTGAGAAGCTCGTCTATGTGCCCTCAGGGTGTATTTGGCAGGGCCCCAAGACAGGCAAACTCTGAAAAATCCCATCTGGCTGACTGATGGTTGGAAGGAAACCTCCTGCCTGAACGTTAGGTTTGCTCACTTAACAAAATTTCTTGGAATGACGTGTTATTGTAATACTAAGAAATAAATAGGGATGAAAAGTTAGGGGAAACTGGACTCTTTGGAAGGTCTTCAGGGACTTCCCTTCTGGATAGAACTTGTAGTTGCCACCAGCAGATGAAAGACTGGCCACTGGAAAACTGCCACTGTGTCACACAAGAGCCACATCCAACTTTGGGAATTATTGAGGTTTGGGGGTATTTTACTAACCTGTTGCAGACGAGTGTAAGTGCTTTGAGATTAAGTAACATGATGGTTTAAGTGAAAGCTCTTGTGTGGTCATGTTTGTGCCACCCAGCTATGGGTCAGATGGCAACATCTGCCTGGATTTATTTCCTGACACCACTCACACAGAGTAAAGTTACTGAGATCTTTGGGCTGATGGAACCACAAATGACACTCCACACCCCCACCTCTGACGGAGTTGAAGACAGGCTGAAGGGTCAGTCAGATTGGAGGAAAATGCACAAGTGATATCTGCTGTGAGGACACAGAAATTGGTTTCTGAGTCAGTTTAGTTGATTGCTCACCTGTGTGGGTGTCGCTGATGATCTCCCCTTCCTCACAGCCCTGGAGATCTGGGATCCACAGCTCCTTCCCTCGCACCACCCAGGAGATCACATAAGCTTTGGAGACTGGAAATGTTGGTTGGGGAGCAATTAACCAAGTGCTGATCTTGTTCATTAAGGTCTGTGCCATTATGACTTTCAGAACCAAGATCTGAGTAACCCACCCAGAGAAGCTTCTTTCCCACCTTGCCGAGACTGGGCTCTGGATGGTACAAGACCCCAGGACACACTCACCTGCAGTAAAGGTGCATCCCCCCTGCCTAGGAAATGGCCCAGCTGATTCCCTGGGGGGAGCTAAGCGCTCTGCTACACTCTCTAGCATTCCGCTAAGTCTCCCTCATGGCCTGTTCCATCCCCCCCATCCCAGGGCAGGACAGGAACACACTGCTCAGAAGGGGAGCTCCAGTGAGGGCTGGCAGGTCTGACACCGAGGGCCATAGGCAGGGCTCAGACTGCAGCTGACACATGGCAGGTCACTAGGACTTGGAGAAAAAGGACCCAGCAGAACTCTAACTCCCCAAGGGCTCTCTGCCCAAAGCTCCTGGCTGGGATGCTCTACTTCAGCCAGGAGGCAAAGGAAGTTCTTTGAGCAGCTAAGGGAAACCTTGGTGGCTATTTCAGACCCTAACTATGCTCTAGACTCCAACCAGCCCCTTTCAGCTGCCTCGAGATTCTGTCCCTTTTCTATATGATTTGCTGATGCATATCCTATTTCCCTGGCACAAACAAAACCTGACCTTGCTTTAAGTTAGGATAAGAGGGACCTGCATACCAAATTTGGTGGCCCTAGCTCTTACCATTTAAAAAAAGTTCTTGAACAGACAGACAGACTCTCTCAAATATACAGCAATTGAAAGATCTCTATGCATCATCTATTATAACCATATCAAGCCTGGGTCTCATCATTCACTTTATTGTATTAAGTTGTTTTATGTTCTTTAGTCAGAGACAGCCCTCCAACAATATCTAGGCCATCCCTACAGGGTGAGCCGTTACCTTTTACATGGTTGGGTCAGCTATGTTCAATTCATGGTTATAGACAAGCAAATACTGAAGAACCTTGGGTCCAAATTAAGAAAGTTAAGTATTGGGTAACTGAGTAAGCAAATACTTGATGCACTTTACATCGATTATTTGATTATTAGATAGTGTGCTTCCGCCTTTGAAGTGTAGCAACTAGGGGTGTTGCTACACTTCAAAGGTGAAAGTACCACATGGAGCCTGGGGTCAGCTGGGGAGTCCCAGGCACCGCATGGCATTGATGCTTTGAAATGCTGTGAGGAGCCTGATGCCTGATTCCCTGCAGCATTTCTAAGCAGCAGCGCAGCACAGAGGCCGAGGTCTGTTGCTTATTGGATAGTCGACTAGTCCTTCACATGCCTAGTCCAAATTTTTGCACTAACATAAGTGAGTTGCCCAAGGTGTCACGGGAAAACTGTGTCAGTGCAGGAAACTGAATGCAGGTCTCCCAAATGCACTGCTTAAAATGCAAGAAGAGCTCTTCTCCATTTATCTACTACAGAGCTACCTCCCTCCCCTCCCCCCAGAATTCTTGCAGAGCAAGAAATGACTCCTCCACACTCCCTCAGCCCACCGCCTCTCACTGGCAGGAACTAGCATGTCACAGATCAGCCACAGGTAGGAAAGGACTCAGGGAACCGCACCCTCCTTCCAGGGGCTCAGCACATTGGCACAAGAGGTACTCTGCAGGCACTACCTGTAGCCACACCCAGGCCCACAACACCTCCCATCAAGGCAGAACATGGGCAAGATGGTGGTGAGGCACAATGAGACCTTGGCTGTGGGAAGGGCAGCACCATTGTTATGTCCCTGAACCTGCATCCCCAGGGAGGGGGCATGGAGGGGACAGTGTCTCAAACATGAGTCAGGATTGTGGAGGGGACAGTGTCTCACACATGAGTCAGGATTATGGGGGCTGATACTCCTGACATTGGAGTGTAGGGGTAAATGAGTGACCCTGAACCAAATCCAACCCAGCTGCTCCAGAGCCCACCCAGCTTCTGACATCCGAGGGGACAGGAATACTTACCCAGCCAGTTCACAGCCTCATAATTCTCCTGCATCACATCCCAGTAGAGGGCTCTCTGACCTGGGTCCAGCAGAGCCCATTCCTCCTCAGAGAAATACACAGCTACCTCCTCGAAGGACACCGGCTCCACCACAGCCATTTCCTGTCCCTGCCTCTGTAGGCCCTGGGGTGAGCTGGAGCAAGACATGGGTGTTCTGCAGCCTGTCAAGAGGAGAAGGGCATTTGAAGATATTTCACAAGAGGCTTTAATACTTTGGACACCTCCATTCTCTCCAGACTCTTTCACATGCTAGAACAGGGGGTTGGGCAAGTCTACACTCCCCCATCTTGTGCAAAAAATATGCAAATGAGGTGAAGTGTGGAATATCACTGTGCCTCATTTGCATGATTAAAGAGGCTCCGTTTGCGCAAAAAACCCCTTTTGCACAAGAGTCGTTCTTCCTCTTTTTTCCCCAGGAAGAACGGCACTAGCACAAGAGGGTTTTTTTGCGGAAACACGGAGCCTCAATAATTATGCAAATAAGGTACGATGATATCCCACACTTCACCTCATTTGCATATTTTTTTGCGCAACGGGGGCAATGTAGACATAACCACACTGTCCTTCATAGAATCAGAGCTGGACGAGACCTGAGGAGGTCATCAAGTCCAGCCCCCTGCCCAAGGCAGGACCAATCCCAATTAAATCAACCCAGCCAGGGCTTTGTCAAGCTGAGACTTAAAACGTTTAGGGATGGAGATTCCACCACCTCCCTAGGGAATCCATTCCAGTATTTCACCACACTCCTACTGAAATAGTTTTTCCTAATATCCAACCTAGACCTCTCCCACTGTAACTTGAGACCATTGCTCCTTGCTCTGCCATCCGTCACTACTGTGAACAGCCTTTCTCCATCCTCTTTGGAACCTCCCTTCAGGCAGTTGAAGGCTGCTATCAAATCCCCCCTCTCTCTTCTCTTCTGCAGACTAAACAAACCCAAATCCCTCAGTCTCTGCTTATAGGTCACGTGCTGCAGCCCCCTAATCATTTTGGTTGCTTCTGATGGACCCTCTCCAATGAGTCCACATCCTTTCTATACTGGGGAGCCCAGAACTGCACACAATAATCCAGCGCTGTGTCTAGACTGGCAAGTTTTCCGCAAAAAAGCCCCGATCGCGAAAATGGCGATTGGGGCTTTTTTGCGGAAAACAAATCTCTGCTGTCTACACTGGCCCTTTTGCGCAAAAGTTTTTCGGAAGAAGACTTTTGCCCGAATGGGAGCAGCATAGTATTTCCGCAAAAGCACTGACAATCTTACATGAGATTGTCAGTGCTTTTGCGGAAATACTATGCTGCTCCCATTCGGGCAAAAGTCTTCTTCCGAAAAACTTTTGCGCAAAAGGGCCAGTGTAGACAGCAGAGATTTGTTTTCCGCAAAAAAGCCCCGATCGCGAAAATGGCGATTGGGGCTTTTTTGCGGAAAAGCGCGTCTAGATTGGCCAAGGACACTTTTCCGCAAAAAGTGGTTTTGTGGAAAAGCGTAGTGCCAATCTAGACACGCTTTTCCGAAAATGCTTTTAACAGAAAACTTTTCCATTAAAAGCATTTCTGAAAAATCATGCCAGTGTAGACGTAGCCCAGATGTGGCCTCAACAGAGCCAAATAAAGGGGAATAAACATTTCTCTAGATCTACTGGTAATGCTCCTCCTAATGCAACCTAATATGCCATTAGCCCACTTGGCTACAAGGGCACATGGTAGACTCATATCCAGCTTATCATCCACTGTAATCCCTCAGGTCCTTTTCTACAGAACTGCTACTTAGCCAGTTAGTCCCCAACCTGTAACAATGCTTGGGATTCTTCCGTCCCAAGTGCAGGACACTGCACTTGCCCCTGTTGATCTCATCAGATTTCTTTTGGCCCAATCCTCTAATCTGTCTGGTCACTTTGGAACCTATCCCTGTCCTCCAGCATATCTACCTCTCCCCTACCTTAGTGTCATCTGCAAACTTGCTGAGGGTGCAATCCATCCCCTCATCCAGGTCATTAATAAAGATGTTGAAAAAACTGGTCCTAGAAACGATCCTTGCAGCGCTCCGCTAGAAACCGACCGCCAATATGACATCAAGCCATTAATCACTATCTGTTGGACCCGACATTCTAGCCAGCTTTCTATCCACCTTACAGTCCATTTATCCAATCCATACTCCCTTAACTTGCTGGCAAGAATATCGTGGGAGACCGTATCAAAAACTTTGCTAAAGTCAAGATATATCACATCCACTGACTTTCCCATATTCACAGAGCCAGTTACCTTATCATAAAAGCGAATCAGAGTGGTCAGGCATGACTTGCCCTTCGTGAATCCATGCTATTCCTGATCACTTCCCCTTTCCAAGTGCTTCAAAATAGATTCCTTGAGAATCCCCTCCATGATTTTTCTGGGGACTGAAGTAAGGCTGACTGGTCTGTAGTTCCCTAGATTGTCCTCCTTCTCTTTTTTAAAAATGGGCATTATATTAGCCTTTTTCCAATCATCTGGGATCTCTCCCAATCCTGCAAAGTGGGTTATTTTTGGTTTTTGACTTGTCTATGCATTTCATAATTTTCATTTCTATCCTATGCTTAAATGTAATTGTTTGAGTAGTGATGTCAAAGAACCTGTCATGTCTGGAGTAATTATCCCCATAATTGTGCTCCTGGAAATAGCTGGCATGTCCCTGCAGTCCCTGAGAAAGTCATAGCACGGGGTCTCCACATGCTGTCTTCGCCTGTGGACACCACTGCTGCAACTACCATTGATCAATAATGGAGAACCGTGGCCAGTACAAGCTGTGGGATCACTGCCTGTAGATGAGGGGCAGCATATGAAGCCATTGCTATACCTGCCAGCTGCTTTCAGAAGTGGAGGACCTGGGCAGCAGTAAGTCCACCTTAGTTCCCTTGCTCCATCCCTGGGATAGCTGACCAGCCCACTCCCAGGATGGGCGGAAGGGGGTGGGATCGAGCCCACCACCCTGTGTTCCAGAGGCTAATCATAGAGCTGTAAGAGACCTCAGGAGGTCATCAAGTCCAGGCCACTGCCCAAAGCAGGACCAATCCCAACTAAATCATCCCAGCCAGGGCTTTGTCAAGCTGAGACTTAAAAATCTCTAGGGCTGGAGATTCCACCACCTCCCTAGGGAACCCATCCCAGTGCTTCACCACCCTCCTAGTGAAATAGTTTTTCCTAATATCCAACCTAGACCTCCCCTACTGTAACTTGAGACCATTGCTCCTTGTTCTGCTATCCGTCACTACTGTGAACAGCCTTTCTCCATCCTCTTTGGAACCTCCCTCAGGAAGTTGAAGGCTGCTATCAAATGCCCCCTCACTATTCTCTTCTGGAGACTAAACAAACCCAACTCCCTCAGCCTCTCCTCATAGGTCATGTGCTCCAGCCCCCTAATCATTTTGGTTGCCCTCTGTTGGACCCTCTCCAATGCGTCCACATCCTTTCTATAGTGGAGAGGAGGGAGGCAGAATTGGATGCACTTCTCCAGATGTGGCCTCACCAGAGCTGAATAAAGGGGAATAATCGCTCCTCTTGAGCCACTGGCAATGCTCCTCCTAATGCAGTGGTATCCAACCTTTTAAAGTATGAGATCACTTCTTTAATTTAAATGCAATCCAAGATCTACCTCAAACCCAACTACCTTTGCCCCACCTCCTTCTTGTCCCTTCTCCAAGGGTCCACTCCTGCTCACTCCGCCCTTTCTTCCTCTCCCAACCTTCCTCCCTTCCCTCAGGCAGGGGCAGAGGATTGGGGGCACAGGCTCTGGTCTTGGGCTAAGGGATTTGGAGTGTGAGAAGGGCTCTGAGCTGAGCCCAGGGCAGGGGTTGGGGTACAGAAGGGGGTTCAGGGTACAGTCTCTGTAAGGGAGTTTGGGTCTAGGCTCGAGGCTAGGGCAGGAGCTTGGGGAGAAGGATGGAGAACATGACTGGGACAGGGATTCAGGATGCAGGTTCCAGCTGGATACTGCTTACAAGAGGTGGCTCCTGGTTGGTGGTGCAGTGGAGCTAAGACAGGCTCACACTTACCCTGGCCCTGCACCACTCCCAAAAGCAGGCAGCAAACTACTTCCATCCCAAACCCTGTTGTGCCCCTCCCCCACATCCCATTCTGTGAGAAAGAATACAGGATGGGGGAGGGAAACAGCTCCAAGGCAAAAGGTGGTGTTAGGGGCAGCTGAAGGGCTGGCACTTGACAGCCTCTGGGCCAAACCAGTCAGGATCACCTGTCAGAGGCTCCAAGATCTACTGACCACTGTCCTAATGTAACCTAATATGCCATTTGCTTTCTTGGCTACAAGGCACACTGTTGACTCACAATGCAGGACAATGTAGCACTTTAAAGACTAACAAGATGGTTTATTAGATGATGAGCTTTCGTGGGCCAGACCCACTTCCTCAGATCAAATAGTGGAAGAAAGTAGTCACAACCATATATACCAAAGGATACAATTAAAAAAAATGAACAAATATGAAAAGGACAAATCACATTGCAGAACAGAAGGAGGATGCGGGGGGGTGGGAAGGGGGAGGAAGGAAGGTAAGTGTCTGTGAATTGATGATATTAGAGGTAGGGAGAGTGGGATGTTTGTGAGTTAATGGTATTACAGGTGATAATTGGGGAAACTGTCTTGATAATGGGTGAGAAAGTTCAAAGACTTGTTAAGTCCCTGGTGGTAAGTGTCGAATTTTAACATGAATGACAGTTCAGAGGATTCCCTTTCAAGTGCAGATGTAAAAGGTCTTTGTAGCAGAATGCAGGTGGCTAAGTCATTTAGAGAGTGTCCTTTCTGGTTAAAGTGGCAAGAAACTGTTTTCTCTTTGTGATCTTGTCTGATATCTGTTTTGTGGGCATTAATGTTCACTCTCCAGCCTATAACAATGCTTGGGATTCTTCCATCCCAAGTACAGGACTCTACACTTGCACTTGTTGAACCCCATCAGATTTCTTTTGGCCCAATCCTCTAATCTGTCTAGGTCACTCTGGACTGTATCCTTGCCCTTCAGTGTATCTACCTCTCCCCCTAATGCCCTATCACTGAGTATCCCACTACACCTCCCTACCTTCAACAGGTCCCTTATGTTGCTTTCCTACCACGGGAGCCAGCTCCATCCCTAGGGCAACTTGCACTCCCCAAGCAAATGCCATATCCCCTTGTCCACTCCAG